TACTAAGTGAACCATATATTACCTTTTTTAAGTATATTGCTAAAATGAAAGCTATCGCTTTGTGGAAGAGAGAATATCTTTCCAGTGAGGTCCAGCTGGAAAATGAGAACAAGTCTGTAATCACTTTTATGTGACTTTAGAATTCCTTCTTAAAGGAAAATCTGAATTATTTCATAAACTCACTCTATCTTTGTAGATTTGGTGGAAATGGAAATTAGCCTGCTTTCAACCATGTTTACTTTATTGTCAATTTTTTTCATTGTGTAAGATTTTCTTAAAGCCTAGCAGCTGAATATCCTACGGGGGTGACAGCTACAGTAATTTTCTGTTTATAAATATTCATGATTTGAAAGCTATAGCATTAATTACATTCATTTGCATATCCATCTGAACACACAAGTAAACTGCAAACTTTGTGGACACTTATTTAATAATATAAAGATGACATTTCCTTCACAAAGAATTTGATTTTTCACATCCAGTAACATATTCGTTAAGATTAATGTCTGAATGTAATGACTGGATTTTGATGAGAGCTCGGTGGAGCTTAGAAGAAAAAGAATAACCTTAAAACAGCTCAAAGGAAGCAGGTGTGCTACACTAGGTAAAAAAAATTGTGGAATGAAGAACCAGTCCTGTTTCTAAGCCCTTTTGGAGTATTATTATTGCATGTGTCTTTTGTTTACATGAATCAAAAGAAATATCTCTTTATTTTAGGATTTATTTTTGTGGTTATTTTGGTGTTTTGTTTTGGGTTTGGTGTTTTTTTTTTTGTAAAATGGGAAAATTTAGTGTTTTGAGACTAGTGAGGACATTCTTCAGATTATTGCTTTTATTTGCCAATACATTTGATTTGTGCTTTTTTTTTTATGCTGGTCCACATGTGAGGTTTATAATTTTGGTGCTACCCAGAATCTCTCTGCTAAGCTGTTTTGCTGGGGGACGAAAATGTCCTATGGAAGAAAACGGTAGCATGTGTATCTTTTTCTTCTGTGTAAAAACTGTATAAAATATAATTCATGTTCTGAATTACAGGTAATGTAACCTTGGTCTCACAGGCTTTTGTCCTACACGGCATCCATACAGTGTGTGCATACATTATGCAACAAAGGCAGGTTTTTGCAAGTCCAATGTAGTACCAGTCCAAACAAAGTAGCTTACACTGAGGTACACACTGTCTTTCTCTGGATATTCCACTTTCCAGAGCTTCAGTAAACTTAGTTAAGTAGCCTTGGCGAGTTAGCTGTGAAATGCATGTGTAATAATCTTTGTGGTGAATTCATAATGAGCAAAGCCTCCTGGCGCGGTCTGAGGTCCGTTTACGTGCCAGCTCTGCTGTCAGGAGCACATTCCCTACCGGTACAGGCTGCTTATAAGAAAAACAGGTTTATGTTTGGGAGATGGGCTTTCATATCTGCTTTAGTGTGGAATTTATTTAATCATGTTAATGCCTTGGCCACTTACAGAGTCCAGACAAGTTATACCCTTATTTAAATTCAGAAGAAAATTTGGCCCATCTTGCTTATTTCATAGTGCAAATTTTTGAACACTTACCTCTTGTTTATCAGTTACATTGTTTCTAATAATGATCTAACAACATGATTATGAGTGTCTGCAAATATTTTCTGTGCAGATTTGTGTTTACTTAGAATACTAATACGTTTATAGCAGTGTATGTGATTGAAGTGAGTGAGGTCAGCATTTTCTCTGTAAATTATCAACTGCCTGAAAAAGTCTTGTGGGGAACACTGGAGAAAAACTGACTTTTGCTTGCTCAAGCTATGTTCAAGCTATGTATTAGTGTATATGTAATCTTAAAATACATCTTGTGCTGATAGATGCTGTCTGTGAGTTACTGAAATTTTTTGACATACCCAATTTTATTTGAGCCAAAAGGGGATTCCATACCTTAGAAATTCAAAGGCAGCAGAATGGAAAATAGCAAAGCAGATTTGAGTTTCTGTCTCCTTTTTCTCGACTATAGTGGCTTCAGTTATACTAGGAATATGTAAGGAAGAATATTTGCTGAAAGGAATATTTGAAAAATGGTTGTCATTCATTAGGCATAATAGAAGTTTTATAGTAATTTCTTTTTTTTTTCCACCTTAACATAAAGCCACCACTTTTATCCGATTCTTTCTGTAACATTATAAAAACTGATTTGCAGGCGTCTTTGTTTTCCCATGCAGATTTTCAGGCTCTTTTAATTTTTTTTTCCTTTTCTTCACACAGCAATCCTATGGAGAGTTAGGCAGGCCTATCTGGCTCCAGATAGCCGAGTCAGCATACAGGTTCACTTTGGGCTCAGTTGCTGGTGGTAAGTAATATTTTTAATGTCTGTTTTCAGGCTTGGGTTAGTTTAACACTGTCTTGCCAGATTACTTGGTCTCACCTAAGATGTGTTTCTTGGTTATACACGTGAAGAACTGGAGGGTGGAACCACTTCTGGTTGTGCCATTCCCTTTCTTTCCTTATTGCTTTTGGTGCTTCTGTTCTAGTATCCCTCTGCAGTCCTCTGAAACTCCACTCCAGTAATTGATTTCCTTACTGGTAATTCAGATTGGTTTTCTTTGTTCTACACATCCTGTTTTATGTAACATTATAATCCATTCTCCTTAAGACTTTTCTCTAGAATTTGTGTTGTTCTTTCTTACTTCCACCATATCAAAGATCTTACCAGCTTACATATTCTTTGTGTTTAAATAAATGTTGTAGAAAATAATTATATACTACACCAATAACGATGCTGCAGAAAAAATTCTCCAAATGCTTTCTTACAGCTGTTGGTGCTACTGCGGTATATCCCATAGATCTGGTGAAAACTCGTATGCAGAATCAGCGCACCTCTGGTTCAGTTGTAGGAGAGTTGATGTATAAAAACAGCTTTGACTGCTTTAAAAAGGTTTTGCGTTTTGAAGGCTTTTTTGGTCTTTACAGAGGTAAGTGAATAAAATATATATCAAGTTGGGGATTTCCTGCCTTTTTTTTTTTAATACCTCAACAGCTCGTTTCTTATGGGGAAACCAGGAAACTCAGTATCATGTACAATTTCGCTTCTGTTTCAAAGAGCTCAATATTTATCTTCCCTTGAGCACTGTTAATCATGAGCAACTGCAGGGAAAAACTGCATTTTTTCATTGTTACTGATTTGCTCCTTGCTGCTTAGGTTGTTTAAAGTCCTAATTTCTGGGATACAAGTGTTGTGGATATGAATGTTATCTCACTAACTAAGGATTGTAACTTTGGGCTGGGGGCAAACATCAGGAGCAGATTAGCATCTGTGGAATAAAGATCCATTTTACTGTAAATACATGTTGTTAAGAGACAAAAGACAATCATTTTGAAATGTACCTGTTAAACTGGATGCCAGATCTTATGCCTCAGACTTTTGCAGGTCGTGGGACTTGTCTTAGGACTTTTATCCTCTAAACAAGAAATTACATCCAGCTGTTGTATTATGTTGCTGTATTTCACTTTAAAATATCAACAGTGAAACTCATAAAAGTTATAGTTTACAAAAAGAAAAAAACCTAAAATACAGGTTAAGAATCCAGAGGAACTTTTTATCAGTTTTATCAGTTAAACTGAAAGCTATCTTATATCTTGCTTAAACTTAGGAGAAGATTCTGAAAGGGTTTTTATCACATCAGTAAGGTGACTTACATAGAGGGTACATGCTACCCAGTCCTCTGAAACGGATATTTAGTTGAATTTTCTATTTTTAATTATCATTTTATATAAATTAATGAAGTGCACATTTTTCATAAAGATCAGGAAGAGATTTACTAATTGGCACACTTTGGTTTTTTCAGTTTGAGCAGTTGCTCACTTCTGAGATGGTCACAGCCTTTTTTTCTGCTTTGCAATGTGTTCTGTCAGTGAAGACGCTGGGCAGTGTCCATTAAGGACAGTATCTGAGAAGTTTTTGTATGTGTATGATTCTGGCCAAAGAGTAATCTTGCAGGATTTTGCTATGAAAATGAATAGAGGGAGGAATATGCCAGTGAAAATGTTAATGAAATAGCTCTAATCTCCGTAAATTACTTCATACTGGTAAATTGTTTTCCTCTTTTGTTGCTAAATCTTTACAAAAGCAAATTCTCTTTGAGTTCCATTTATGAGTCTACTTCTACAGCACTGTTCAGTACTATTTTATTTCTCTTCCCTCCGCCCCCCAGACACATGCACAGCATGCAGTTTTGCACAGCAGCTTCCAAAACTGATCATTAGTTATTTTTATTTTCTAACCTTTCTCAAACACTTTTAAATCAAGGATGATTCCACAGATGAGTTAAAAGCAATACTTTACACCTGAGAAAAAATTTGCTTGTTTGAAAGAGTAAAAATAAACTTTTTTAATAGTCTGTTTAATAATTTTCTTTAAAATTGTTTAGCATAAAAAAGTTGTTTTGAAAATATTACACTTAGTGAATGGTCAGCATGTTACTAAGTTCTTGGATTCATAGAAATAAATGGGCTGTGGAAGTATATTGAACTAAACAACATGAACATTTATGGGGTTGACTGTGGGTCTGTTTTGGATTCTTGTATTTCTGAGTTGGATTATGTTACTGTATTGTAATGGCACAGTGTAGTCGTTTACTGCAGTTTAAAGAACAGAACAGAATACGTGTTGGGAAGTTCGTATTTTCAAATAAAAACTTCCAGGTTTTGCTCAAGAAAATCAAGACACTTTTGAATCCTGGCATCCAGCTTCAGAACTGATGAAGTACCTTCTAAGGTCCCTCACCAGAGCATGCAGGGTCGCAGGTTCTCTAGCACTAAAAGTGTGTGTGTGCCCATCGCGTTCAGCTGCATAAAAAGGAGTGAAGGGGGATTGTCTTGCGGTGTTTTGTCTGGCAGTTTTGGGTTTTCAAATTGTAGGCACTGCAGAGCTGGATTTGCTTTTCATGATAGATCAGAGATTCAGGCTGGGAGGGCAGCATTTCTTTTCGTTATTGTCAACCTTTCTTTGTGTTTAATAACTACCCTTCCTCTGCATAGTAAGTCTGTAAATTGCACAGAAAGTACTATGTTGGAAGAAAACACTACACTGCATATATTACCTGCCACACTTTCTATTTAAGTGCATTTGCTCTGAGCTTCCTTTTAAGGAATTAGTATAAAAATTCTGCAGGCTGGGTAGTTTTGGTAATTTTGAAATTTTAAAATTAATTTTTAGCTATTATTTTTTTCACTTAACAGCTAGTAGAAAACGGCATCTACAGAGTTTTGTTGCAGTTATCTGCTATTTGATATAATTAGCCTGGGATTTTTTGTCAGTTAACTGGCAAACACTTTTGACAAAGTTGTGTTTTCTAACCAGGGAATGACCTTAGGTAATGAACGCTTCTAATAGAAATAAGCATTTTAAGTTTTATAATCTGCACATATAACAAAATGACTGTGGAGAAAGTGGATTTAAAAATAACAGATAACGTGATAATCTTGTATGTTAGGAAGTTAAGACTGCCATCTACTGATTTTTTTCTTAAACCTCTTAGTCCCCAGAAAAGTGTTTTTGTCAAATGGCAGTTGGTTTTGATAGTAGCTATATTCCAGGAGCAAGGGTGTTTTCAAAATCAGTTTCTGTCTGCTAATGTTTCCTTTTGTTGAGGTAAAAAACACTTAACAGTAATAGGGTTTAAAGAAGTTCATACTACCACGTTGGACTGAACAGGAGAAAATCTTTTATAACCTTAGTTGACTGGAGCCTTCAGAAAACTCAGGTTAGTGTTTTAAGTAGAAGTGAATTGATAATTTATCATAGTTGTGTGTATATCTCACAATCTCTCCTATTTTAAAAAGTAATTGCAAGCTTTTTGGGAAAACCATACTGGGGAGCTAAAAAAGTCACAACAATACTTACGTAAGGGACATAGCCAAGGTATACGTTCAGTCCTTACCCTTTTTTTTGCCTTCTGTACAGCAACAGCATCAGGCTTGACTTGTGGAAGGCAGATCTGGTCACCCTTTTCATTACCATTTTCAACAGAAATGTTAATGTAAAATTGTATTGGTATGAGTATGCAGTGCCATAGCAGGGTCACATACATAAATGCCATCCACTTCAAAGGATATTCCATGTGCAGAAAGGCATTTCTGTAGAGCTCTTATAAAATACTTGTTTCTATATGAGGAAGATAATGTTGCCTTATGATGTCTTTTTTTCTATAGGCTTGTTACCACAGCTGATAGGTGTTGCACCAGAAAAGGCTATTAAGCTAACTGTACGTATTTTTTTTTTCCTTTTTTCCTTTTTCTTCTTGACATCCTTTTGTTTGTTAACATACACAGGATTTATTTCCTAAAATATGTGAAAGATGACCACTTAAAAGCACTTGAATATATATGGTTACAGATATACTTGCTATATGTTAATAAGGAAGAAAAATAATTTAAAATTGTGTGTCATATATCTTTATTAGGTTAATGACTTTGTCAGAGACAAATTTACTAAGAAAGATGGTTCCATTCCACTCCCCGCAGAGATCCTTGCTGGAGGCTGTGTAAGTATCTGTCTTGTATTCCTAGGAAAAATGGATTCTCAGGTTCTCAGTCACGTGTGGGATAGTTAGAATGACAGTTAATAGGTGTGCTTTGTTGATTCAAACAGAACTGTTCTTCCAGTCTCAAGAACTATGAAAAGTAGTTTTTCTGTTTGGAAAGCTTTGCATACTTCTGAGTTGGGTTCTCTTAGAAGTACGTGCTTGAACAACCTCTTCTGGCCCAGTTTCTAACTTTCAGGTTCAG